CACGCAGGGTTGTGTGGCATGTTTTTCACTCCCTGGCCTGAGGAAGGACAAACGCCTAGGGCTGTCCTCCACCTCTGATACCTGGCAAGCCAAGGGACGTGGCCTTGAAAGGCTTTCCACAGAAGTCAGTCTGAACAGAGGACATTGGCGCACAATCTTTCTCTGGCGAGCAGAGGCCCCTCCAGAATGGCAGGCTGGAAGAATTCATTCCCGGCTCTGACACCTGAGATGTGACCAAGGGCTGTCAGGTCTGGGCATCTTGACACTTGAACACCCTTCTAAGAGTCCTATTGAGCTTAATGGACCACTTGGGGTGCGGGGGGGCAGGGCGGGGGACAGAAGTCTATGTTCATCACAGCTGGCCTTGATGCCAGAAAGAGTTGCCCCCCGTTTGGCCGAGAGGAATATTTTGCATCCTGCAAAATTCTGAATGTTCTTTCACTTCCTGGCCCCATGCGAGACAGATACACGGAATGTCCTGGAAAGCCTCAACTCCCTCCAGTTTTCATTGAACAAAGACATGCAAGCAGATACATAAGGAACGGGGCCTTTCAGCAAAAAAAAGCTGAAGATCTTTCGAGGCAAGACAGAAAGACAGGACAGGAAAACACAGGACGGCAACGTTGTCTGCAGGGGTTACAAAACCTCTGGCCAGGATCCAATCATTTCCCTCTGCCGGTGTAACACAACTGGCCTAAATCCCACGGGCGAACTGCCGCCGGGTAAGATGTTGGCGTAGGCATCGGCCGTTGCCGAGCAAGGCCCACAGTTTAAGGGGCCACCGCTAAGCCCTGTGCTCGCGTCTGAACCTGGGGTGACCGGCCTGTGAAAGGTGAGCCGGTCGTGCTCTGGCAGTGTGAAAATCCAGCAGGATGTGGAAGGAGGAAGGGGCTCGACCTAGATGACCAGGCAAAGCCTCGACCGGGAAATGACCTGAAAAAATCCCACCTGTGGCCTGGCCTGGGTGGCCAGACAGGGGGTCAGTGTGGGCAGAAGACCCCCACCTCCTCAACCTGAAACTTCACAACGTTCCTCCTTTAGAAGGAATCCAAGCCAGGCACTTGCAAACCTGACTTTGGCCCCTCTTCCTTGGACCAGGAATTCTGTCTTGAGCGGGCAGCTTGCCTCTCCAGCCACGGAGGAGCTCCTCCAGCGTCCTTGCCCTGCCCCATCTTCCAGTTGCACGTGATCTCTTTGGGCAGCGGTGTGGATATGCTCGGGCAGCTCCCCAGCTGCAAAACGGCCATGGCCCGTCCTGCCTGCCTGCCGTCCGCCCTCCCAAAGATTTTGGGCTGCCGCGGCCACGTTCTGTCCCTGTCGGTGGCATGGATCCATGCCCCACTTGAAAAAACTTCCAGGAGGGAAGGGAGGAGGGCTGGGGCTGAGCAGGAACACAGATGTCCCCCTCCCCATGCCTCCCCAGCCAGCAGGCTCACCTGCCTGCATCTTCTCCAGGAGTGCCTGCTGCTCCAAGATGATGCCGTCCAGGCTCCCGATGAGGAGGACCTGGTCCCTCAACCGCTGCCGGCAGGCCCTCTTGAGTCCCCGCAGCTGCTTCCGCCGGCGGCTCTCCTCCTTCTCCAGGCGGGAGCGGTAGGCGCCGGCCGTCTCCTGCAGCTGCTGCATCTGGCTGTAATGCTCCAGGAAGGAGAGGAGGTGGGACACCACCGAGAGGAGGGGGGACTCCGGAGGCTGACGGTGCCCGCCGGGTGGGGGTGGGGTGGGAGGAGGGGGTGGGTCAGGGCCCAGGGAAGAAGAAGTGGGGGGCAGACTGAGGTTAGCCACACGCCTGGCAGAAGGGACCAAGGAGCAGGGGCAAGGGGTGACGGAAGGGACCCTTTGGCAAGCTGTGCCCCCCTGGGAACGGGGTCATGCCAAACTGGCCCTCTTCTGGAAAGGATGGTTCAACCAGTCCGTTCGATCATGCCTCCCCAGTCTCGGGGCACCTTCGCCGGCTGGCTGGCAAAAGGATGACAAACGAGGGATCCTGCCTTTTCGGCTCGGCCCCTGGAACATGATGCCAGCCAAGGGGTGCCAGCCTCCTCCCCTCCTCATGTATGGGAAGAGGACGAAGCCCCGATGGTTGAAGGCTGGCTTTTAGGGCTTGGAGAAGCCACCCTGCCGGTCGAGGGATCTGACTCCCCAACCCCCCTTTTCCACCGGGTCTCCCCACAAGCCAGTATCCGGGCAAAGTGATCGGCCCCGTGTGAGATAGTGAGCTTCACGCCCTCTCGAGTGGGGCCTGGATCCGTCTGCCTCTGTGGCAGGCCTCACGAGACGTCCTGCTAACTGCAGGGGATAATGGGGAGGCCAATTGGCTCATTCATGGGGTTGCCCTCTGCCAGAAGCAACCCGACAGCCTGCATCGCCAGGTATCCTGCCAAGGAAATGTGCCACTGGCGGGGAGTGAGAAAGAGAGGAACCCCAGAGGGGAACCAGCAGGTAGACGAATGTGGGACCCTTGGAGGGGGGTCCTCCCCCGTTGCCCACCCACCTGTACACCTATGTACCTGCCCCCCTCAGAGGTGTTACCTTTTCACTGGGCGAATCTTTCCCCTCGGGCTGCATCTTTGCCACGGCTTCTTGCTTGAGGGCTCGGAACTCAGTGAGGGGAGTGGGGGCGTCCCCCCAGGCCTGGCCTTCCTCGTCCTCATCCTCTCCCTCGGTGGAGCTGCCCCCATCACTGTCGGAGCTGCCTACCCGTGCAGAAACACGGCGGATCAGAACCCCCACTCTCCTGGGGGTGGCATTTCTGATCTCAGCCGGAACCTGCCTTTGGCCGGGGGAGGGGGCACACAGTGAAGAAAGAGCCTCCCTTTGCCCCCCAACCTTCCCCCCAGACATCCGGGCAAAGGGGCTAACAGGACGGACCTCTAGCGAGCAAGACCGAGCAAAGGGCTTGGGCAGGCTAATCCTGGGGGGCGCAAGACCCCTTACTGGCTGGGGGATTCTGAAAGCCACCATCCATAAAGCGAGTGTGCCGAGCGCAGGAAGTGGCTGTCCCTAATTCTACAAGGCAAAACCTTGGGCGAGGGAACCACCGCTGGGGATGGGTGGCTTCAAGACTGGCTTCGGGGCATGTCAAGGGTTCTAGGCTCCCGGGGTGGAGAGAAGACCAAGGTGATCAGGGTGACTTACTCTCTAGCTCTTCCGTCAGCTCCTTCCAGAGGTCCTGGTGCAGCTGCTTCTGGGTCCTCTTCGGGGGCTCCTCAGGAAAAACACGGCATCCCTGTGCGCAGCAAGAGCCACTCATTGTCCACAGAAGGGCAACAGAGAACATTGGTTTGCGCAGTCTTGTTTATCACAGTTGTAATGCATGAATGACAAATCGCATGCTCCCAGACCAGCTCCTCCTTCTGGCCACCCTTCCTAGGGTTTTCTACATATCAGATCCTTAGAAGCAGCTTCTCGGTCAACTCCTCCTTCCGGTAGCGCCCTGGGACCATCGGGGAGTTTGCACAAGGCCGCAGAGCTGCCAGGGGCCCATAACTCCATCGGTCACACATATTCCCCCTTGGATGTTCTCAACTGCCCCCCACCCACCCCCTTCCTGGGAGGCACAGCAGTGACGTCAAGTCCTTCCTGACCCCCAACTGAGGGACTGCCGCGGAATACAGATGCAAAATTAGAAATTATTTTCTGTTTCCATAGGGGGTGGGAGTGCAAAGCAGTAGTGAAATTTTTGGAAAATAGTATTTAAAGGAATTGGGAGGGGGACAGAATTAACATGTAACAACAGAAGTATCCCCATACACTACATTATTGTTCATTTTTGAAGGAGAACGGTTTGATTGGGCAAAAGAAGAGTTAACTCTAAGTCTGGTAAAGGCTGCTAAACTAATGATTGCAAGAAATTGGAAACCGAAGTCGACTGTATATACCAATCAATGGTACGGTATAATGAAGCTTGGGAAACAGCAGTTAATGATAAGTTGACAGAGGATATAAAATTTAACAATCCCTTTTTAAACAAAGGAGAACAAGAGAGAGTAAGTTTGTTGGAAATATGACAAGACTTTTTGAACTGTGTGTTAATGAAAGGCGAAGGCTGTTTACCTAAACATGAGATAATGTTATTCTGGAAGGATTTGGGGGCATCATAGATTAGGCATCCTTCAGTCTTGAGAGACTATGGTAATGTGCTCTGAACAGAGGACTTGGAACAGCATCTAGTGTGGCTGAGAATTTGAGAGGAGACTATGGTAACGTGCTCTGAATGGAGGTTTTGGAATGTCGTCTGGTGTGGCTGAAGAGGCCAATTTGACAGTGACCATCCCTTCTACCTTGAAGACAAATACAATCTGTCCTCTGTCCATCTCGCTGATTTTGCTGCTTTCAGGATTGCCTCCTTGCCTTGGCCTGCTGGACAAGGGTCTCTTCAAATTGGGAGAGGCCGTGATGCAACACCTGCCTCCAGGCTGAACGCTCAGAGGTCAAGGTTTCCCTTAGGTCCATTCCTAAGACCTTCAGATCCCGCTTGCAGATCTCCTTGTATCGCAGCTGTGGTCTCCCTCTGGGGTGATTTCCCTGCACTCATTCTCCATCCAGGAGATGTTTTGGAATCTGACCGTCAGCCATTCTCACAACATGCCCAAGCCAACGTAGACGTTGCGGTTTCAGTAATGTATACATGCTAAAAATTTCAGTTCGTTCTGGGTCTACTCTGTTTGGAGGGGCATCATAACAACCACAGTAAATGAAATATGTTTGTATCTCCTAGTGGTGGGTGCACTAATATTTGTTAAGTTTGCTTTACATTTTAAGATAGGTGCCTGTAAAATGTTTTTGCCTTCTTTGGTGTTGAGTTGTATGTTGTAGTTATTTTTTTTAAATATATTTTTAAAACCCATTTTTCTTTTTTAAAAAAGACATTATTTTAAAGATTTTGAACAGAATTATCACCATGGGGAGCAAGGGAGCCAGGTGAGTGGTGCACCGGCGGGCGAGCCAGCTGCCCAGGTGCTGCTCACCTGGATAAGGAGCACCTTCTTGTCCTATCCCATTGTGAAAGAGAGCTGCACCCTCCAGGGCCCCGCTAGTCTCCTCTTACAGGCTTTTTTTACAGAACACCTGGGTGGAGTAGGGGCCACCAATGAGGCAGGAGATCAATCTTCTCTACTGCAAAGAGATTTCCAAGGGAAGGGAGCAATAGGGGAGGTGGGTCGAAGCCACCCGTTAGCAGATGGCATGGGAACAGAAAAAAAAGAAAAAAACACAGGGGGAGAGTGCTGGTCCCCGACAGTGGCGGGAGGCCTCTCAGGAACAGCAGAAGAGAGGCTGGCCTCTGAAATATGCATCAAGACTTCTGTTTCCGACAGGACTGGGATTCAAATATGGACTTTTCTGATGACGGGGGGGGCAATTTAATGGACTGTACAGATTAAGCCAGAGGGTTCCTGTGAGGCTCCCTGGGGTCTGTCGTTCCCCCCCCCCGGCTGCAGCACCCTGCAGAGTCCTCCCCTCTCCTCCTGCAGACTGTGTCCGGGAGCACCGCACTCTCGGCTGTAGCCGCTGGCTGCGGGAGACGCGGCTGCAGCCGAGAGCCGCCAATAGCTCTTCTGCGCAGAAGAGAGTCGGTGCAGCAAGCAGCTGTGTGGCACGAAAAGGGCCTCTTGGCAAGGGGACGAAGGACAAACTCTGCCACCCTGGAAGACTCTGGCACTTTGCCCTGATGGCACAATTAGAGGAGAGAGAGAAACAGCAACTCTCCCTGAACAGCTTTGGGACCCTTTGTCACAGGTTCTTTGAAGTTCCAGAAACGGTGTGCGCATGCGCACGCACACACACACACACCAATCTGTGGCAACGCTGCAGAAGAGATGCCCATCGGAGGTGGAAGCCCAGCCTCCGTGCAGCACTGGGGAAAGAGCCGACCGACCCAGTCGGAGGGGCAGCTTGCAGATCATACTCAGCAGCCGGTTGCTCCGAGCAGTCCTACGTCTAGGCAGTGCCCGGTGCAAAACACCAAGAAGCCCCCCCCAGTCACCGTCACACACACCCCGAGGCCTGAGCCAGATCAGGTCTGTTTGCAAGAGGGTCATAGCAGGGATTCCAAGGGCAGCCACTCCGAGGAACCGATCCTGGAGGTCAGACACGTCTCGTGACCATAAACCAAAAAGGATGTGTGTCTGTTTCAGAGTTAGAGAAGGTGGTCACCTACAGAAAGGAACGGTCCAGGCTCCCCCACCCCCAGGCAACATCAAGGACTGTTTTTTAAATGTTGCTGAGCAAGACCATGGAAGTCGGCTTCTTTCCTGGGAAGGGCAGAACGGTCTGGAAACTGACTTGGTCAGAAAGTACACACACACACACACACACACACACACACAGAGAGAGAGCGTACTCCCCCCCCCCCAAGGAGCACTTGCCTTGCCTGTTTGGAAGACTCTGAAGCAGCCCGTGAGCCAACCACCCGTCCCTGGCACCTGTGCCCCAGCACCTCTGTCACCTGAGCAAGATCCGTCCATTTTTAAAGGATGCTAGATCATCTTTCTTGTCTCTGGTCTGATGGGAGCTCAAGGGCTGAGGAAGGTTGTGGGGAAGCTCAGGGGATTTGAGGTGTGCCTCCTTTCCCCAACCCCACCCCGCCGTCCCACCAAACGAAGGGACACCTTGGGACAGTCCTCAAGGTGATTTGCAGGCCGCTCGCTTTCAACAGACCGCTGACGAAGCTTCAAGGCGAAGACCACGTCCACCCTCTCCCCACTCGGATGGGTGATGGCCCCTGCAGTGATGGGCCTCTTCCCGGCAGCAGTCATCAGTTGGGCTTTCTGCCAGAATCTGCACCCCTCAGGTGCCCAGAATGCGGCCAGTGATGCACCGGGCATGTTCAGTGCGCAATATCCATGGGTCCCACACCACGCGTGGCAAAACAAGTTAACAGGAGAGCTTTTTGAACAGACATACGTCTTTTTGTGGACGTTCATGTGAGGAAAATGATCAGGTGGATCCAGTCGACTTCCCAGTCCCACCAGGACTTCCATAAGCTTCTCTCTGCTCTGGGCCCATTGCCAGACGAAGCCCACCCTCGGCCCCCTTGGAGGACTCATTCCCCCTGCAATGGCAGGCTTCATCCTGGCAGCAGCCATCCGCTGGCCTTCTGCTGGAATCGGGGCCCCCTCGGGCGCCCAGAAGACTCGGGCCTGCATTGCGAAAGGAGGCAGAGTTTCCTGCCTCATCTTTCCTCACAAACAGAGCGGAGACCTGGGGGTGGTTCTCAGCAAACATTCAAGGCTACACGAGAGACAGTTAAATGGGCACGCATGCATTTAAGTAACAAAATAGGTGCACAAGACTCAAGGTTAATTTACACAGACCAACACATCCCACGCAGAACTGTGACCTGGGAGGGGGAGCCTCAAATACCGCTCCCCCTTCAGATCTAGCTGTCTAGCCAACTTCACAGGGAGGCCGCTCTGTTTCCATAGTGACCGGCGCTATGGCAACCCCATCACTGAAGGATGGACCAGTTTTCTCTGCTGTTCTGCTGGCTGATAAACAGAGAAGATCCAGATTTCCTCTTCTGGTCCACAGAAGGGACATGATAGCAACCCCCCCCCCTCTCTCTCTCTCTCACACACACACACACACACACACACAGAAACACACCAGACAAGGCACAAGTCCACCATCAAGGTGTTTTCGAAGAGAAGTGGGGGACGGAAACGACAGAACCTCACAGAATGACACCTCCCTTGGGAGCAAGAAGGGAGAGCCTCCAGCCTGTGCGGAACATGCACAAAGGCCTGAACCGGTCCAGTCGCTCAGCAGTGTCAGCTCTGCTTTGGAATTTCTATTTTTTTCCCCAAACTGGATCTTGGAATTCTGTTCTAGTAAACATGGAGACATATGATGCCTTTGTGAAGACAACATCTCTGAGCATAGAAAGACTGCCTTCCTCTTGACGGTGAGTCAGAACAGCCTGTTCCTCTGCCTCTGGTGTGAGGGTCTTTTTGCACAAAATTATGAACTCTCTGTACAGAAAACCCAGACAGTTTGCAAGACACCGGGCAAAACAGACGCAGCGTTTGTTACACATAAAGCGCGACAGGCCCTTGACGACTCTCAAAGCATCACGCAAGGGAGTCCTTCCTGTGGACAAACGTCACTGTGTGTGGAGCCGCTGTGAACGGGAAAGGCCTGCAAGTGGCCAGAATCCATTCATTCAGTCACTAACTAAGAGGCGAAAAGAAAGGTCACGAGTGAAAGGGACTTCAACGAACTTTGGGGAAGCTCCTGGCTGGGGATTCTGGGAGTCGTAGTCCAAAGGCATAACTTCTCCAACCTCTGTTACAGCACAGTACAGTCCCTGGATGTGGCGAGGGACAAAGAAATGGGAAGGGTTCGAGATTGTAAATACATCCATTCAACCATCAGGCGAGGTGGAGACTGCAGCCGGCAGATCCAAGGAAGTCTGAGACTTACGAGAAGGGCCACCGTGAAGGAACGAGAAGGGATCCTCGAGTGTCAGGAGGTGCCCCTGGAGACCAAGACCAAGATCATCCACACCCTTGTATTCCCAATCATCATGTCTGGGTGTGAAAGCTGAACAGCAGAGAAAGCTGACTAGTGAGAAAATGATTCGTGTTTTTGTTTTTTGTTTTTAAATGTGGTGCGAGAGGAGAGCTTTGTGGATAGCCTGGATCGCTAGAGAGATAAACAAGTGGGTCCCAGATCAAAATAAGGCCCGAAGGATCTCTGGAGGCAAAAATTTGACAAAACCGAAGCTGTCCTGCTTTCGGGCCCATCCTGAGAAGGCAGGATTCTCTGGAAAAGACAGAATAATGCTGGGAAAGGCGGAGGGCAGCAGGAAAAGAGGAAGACCCAATACGAGATGGACAGACTCTCTCAAGGAAGCCACAGACTTGAGTTTTCAAGAGCTGAGAAGGCTCTTGAGGACGGGGCCTTTTGGAGATCGCTCCTTCGTAGGGTGGCCGTAAGTCGGCCTTGAGAGCACATAACAGCGACACAACAAACCAAGCCTGAATTCACTTTAGATCCTAACATATATATAAGAAGGAAGGAACAGACGAAAAGAACTATGTTCCCCCGCCTGCCCGCCCCCCCCAAACCCTCGGAGCTGTCAACTCCTGCCACTCATGCTGACCTGGATTCTTTCCTTCTGGTAAGCCTTCCCCCGTTCTTCTCCTGAAGTGCCGGGGCAGCCAAAGGAGCCCCCCCCCCGCTTGTACCTCCAGAACGCCCACCTCCTCCATGCAGCCCCACCTGAGGAGTCCCAGTGCCCCCCAGTTTCCCTCTCAGCCGCTGGAGGCCGCGAGGGACGGCTTCTCTCCCTCTCCCTCGGGTCAGCAGACCGTGGGCCATGAAGAATGGGCAGACCTTGGATTGAACTCCTATGGACGTGCCCACGCACAAGGCCAGTCCTTCCTCCGAGGGAGAAATGCCCCGCCCGGAGGAATGAATACATGTATGTATGTATTTTTGCACCACCGTGAGTGACTTGCATATATATGTGTGTGTGTGTGTGCGTGTGCGTGCGCACACGCACACACACGCACGCGCGCACACATGCAAGTCACTCACGATGGTGCAAAAAAGATACAGACATGGACAAGATATATATATTTCCAGCAATGTCTCTCCAGAACTCAGTTAGCCTTAACGTTATTGCTCTTTCTTTGGGGTTGCTACAGGAGTACAGCTCTTTAGAGGTGGCTCAAAAAGAGCAGCGCTAAAATATTCTAGGGAATACCAATTCAAATCCTCACGAAGGCCTTAAGCTTCCTGGGCCAGCCCCTCCTCCTTTCCTCACAGGCCTGCTGGGGGGATAAAACGGGGAGGAAAAATGAGAGACAGATGCCCTGCCTTACCCCTTGCGGTGAAGGATGAGTGAGAAATACGCTAATAAAAAGATCACAGTCAATCACCACGGGGCATCTAAATCCCAGTTAAGGGAGACAGAGAAAGAGGGAGAGAGAGAGGTGCACATTACACACTTGCACACTGAGAGCCCTGGGTTTAATTGGAGGGCTAATCCATGGGAGCACGGCTGTTTTAGGAGATCTGCTTTGATTTGGATTCCTGCCTTGAGCCCCAGGGGGTTGGACTGGATGGCCTTGCAGGGCCCTTCCAACTTCATTTTTCTCTGATTTCTATGATTGTGTTCCATGTCAGAACTCAGCCAGGTAGACTGGCAGGTTCATCCGCTTCCATGACCATGATGTGTCGTAGAAGTCGTGCCACACGCCTCCCCCCACGTGTCGTGTATAGAGGCTCACAGAAACCCCTTGTTTCTAGTAGCCCACTGGCCTGCTTATTTATTCCGTGCCACCTAAATAAATTGGAAGGGTGGCTTTTAACTCTTTGGAAGCCATTTGTGCACAGTACTGGGAATTCCAGGATCACACCGTCTCCTGCAAACATGGCCTCTATACACATGGAGAAGCCAGCCTGTCATTCACTAGGTGAACATGGGAGCCCACGTTTAATGACTCACAAGCACATTTGAACCCCCTCCCCACCCTTCATGCTACGAACCAGAACAGAAAATGATGACTGGTCACCTTTCTATTG